ATTCTACCAACCAAGCGGCAAAGCACGAAGAAATAAAAGCCCTTTCCTTATGCAAGTACCGCAAGAAGATGGGTCACAAAATCGAATGATGCCAGAAGAAGAAGGGTAGTAGAAGGGCCAATTATCCCTAGTACAAACCTTATACTCACCCACAAAGGCCAAGTCAAGGGCCAAAACAGCAAGCTCATCCCAACGTATCATCCCAGGCTGTCGCCATCTCCTCACAAGCTCCACCATAAATTCCGGCCAATAACAAAGGGAAGGGCTTGTGTTAAGCTGCATGATGTGTCGCAATCCTCAATGATTCTTGCCAAGAAAGTGGCGCACTACCAAAACAGGTAAAACCTTTTTGCAAATTTCGAAGAAAGTCGCAGTTCCATTGAAGGTGAGAAATACGTTGATCCTACGTTCGACGAGCTCATGGTTGGGAGGATCCTGTTCCAATGGGAGATGCCACGGTGGATTCTCCAGTCAACACCTGCACTCGTCGCAAATTTAGAGGATACAGACTACAATTATACTGCGGGCATGGAATACCACATCACGCCTCGCATTGCAAACATCACAAGACAAGAACACAACGACATCAATTCCTGGTACTTGGACAAGTTGTTGTGATCAGCACATGGTCAGCTCCTCCACGTTTATCTTGAATAGAAGGAAGCTTCACTTCTATGTCGAACTTACCATTGCCAATGACAATGCATTGATGGCAAAACATAGTAGCAAGATCCAGCTCGAGTTAGAAGACACCAACCTCTTCATTCATCTCAGCGATGTCCTTATTGTTGAAGATATTCGTGTCAACCTTCTCTCGGCTGCCCATATGATGAAGTGCGGAGTAGAACTGCGCTCATACGAAATGAAATTTCACTTATTTTACAGAAGCACACTCATTCGCAAGGCGAAAACAGAGTGTTTGTATTAAACTTTGACCTACTTGGCACAATCGTCGACACTCACCACATTCGTTTACGTGAAAGCATCTTGATGCACCCTGATGAAACTGATCTCGAGCATCTTGGACTAGACTGACTTTGCCGTTGTGGTTTTCTCAACATCAACCCTTGAAGACACGAGACTGCAGCGGGTAGAAGAGGAAACAACAAGCCAAGAAGGTTGGGGTTGAGGAAGAGTGCCGGAGCTGACAGGGTGGGGATACTTGTCAAACTCCCATTGGCCAATGTTCCGAAAAGGCTGGGGAGCACCCCCTGGAGAAGCGGCATCAGAGACTAAGGGTTGGGATGAAACAATTCCACAGAAGAGCAAGTTAAGCATAAGAAATGATGTTTGGCGTCACTGAGCATGGAACTGACTTAGGTCGTATCCCAGCTTAGTGTCAAGAAGTTGGTGGCAAGAAGTTCGCGCACGCGATTGGTTTAAAAAACCGCTTTACCAATCGCATTGGCCGGGCGTCTGTTTTCGACCAATCGCGTGCGCAAACTTCTTGCCACCTGCTTCTTGACACTAGGCTGGGATACGACCTTACATGCTCATGAGGAGGAAATGGCACCACCGGGTTGAACTTCATATCTATCACCACTGACAGAAACCGTTACTACTGCTTCGACACAAGGGTAGTAGCAACAATAGGCGACCCTCTAGGAGAAGCACCACCACCCAAAGTTGGAGAAATATCACCATCCTACCAAGGAATACTTCAAGTGATTGACGAGGCAATGTAAGATTCGTCGCCGACTCCAAGGAAGAGGAAAACGCTGCCTACCTCTGTAGTCCCACCGTGCGAGCATTCGTCGCCGACGTCCCCGCTGAAGTAAACGAAGCACCTGCATTAAGCAAGCAATCACGATGAGCTTGGGAAGCTCGACCCTACGCAAGACGCAGAGCAACGACAAAAATTTGGCATCAACAACTTGGTCATCCTTCACAAGAAGCCCTAAACAATTCCATCAACGCAAGTGCACACCCCATCTTCCAGAAGCTTCCAGCTTTCCCCTCTTCTCCTTTGGCACATGAAACACCACCATGCAGCCGTAGGCTCTCAGCATGTTGACTGCAAGTGCACTCCCATACCACTTGGTGTAGGGGACCCACTGCTTGTCCCCCACAGTCGCCAGCACCCTGTTCTTCACAAGAGCGACCTGCCTCAGTGCAGTCACCCAAAACGGATCCGGCAGCCCTGCGCGCCCAAGGAGAGTGCGAGCACCTTCCTGCAGGGTCCGGTTGAACCGCTCAGCCACGCCGTTCTGCTGAGGGTTGTAGGGCACTGTAAGCTGATGCTGAATGCCCTTCTTCTTCAGCACCGCCTCAAACTCATTGCCAATGAACTCTCCCCCGTTGTCAGTGCGGATCACCTTCACCTCTTGTCCGCTCTCACTTTGAGCTCTCGGCATCCAAACCTTAAGAACAGCCGCTGCCACCTCCCCCTTAGTCTTGAGAGGGTACACCCACACTGCACGCGTGTGGTCGTCCACAATGGTCAAGAAGTAGCGGCTGTCCGAGAGAGAAAGGGCCCTAGTGGGGCCCACCACATCCATGTGCACAAGCGCAAGTGGTGCCTTGGCTGGTGAATTTGGTGAATTTCGTTTCAAGGCATGTAGGGCAGCTCCCAATCTCCTTCACTGCCCCATTCACCTCCAGCCTCTTCAAGCTCTCATCCTCCACCAACATCTGCAGCATAGGGATGTTGATGTGACACAGCCTCTCGTGCCACGTCTCCCAATCGGCCTCACCACTCCCATGTGAAGCCTTTGCCCATGCAGCTGTCGCATCCACACCAGCAAGCACCTCACCATGTGATTGCTGTGGCTGCTGCACCTTTTGCTGGTGCAGTCTCCTCTCCTCCCGCAGTTGCTTTAGCCGTTGCTGCTGCCGCTGCCGTTGCTTGGGTTTTCCCGTTCCAAGGGATGATGGGCAGCTGCCACAGGTCCTTGATGCATGGTTTAGGATATGGGCAGCCACAAACTTGATCTTCCTAGGGGGTTTTACCCCATCAAGCAAATCTGCCCGTGGGGTCATGTGACTTGTGCAACCTGAATCGATCACCCAGTAAATGAGGGGGTGCATCACAACCTTCCCAATCTAACCCACATCACCCCCACTCTCTTTCGCATCCTCAACCATCAAGAACATCCCAGGGGAGGCTTTACCTTGTGCACCATCACCTTGTGCACCTGAACCTTGCACAGCGCCACCTCGCGCGCGTTCACCACTTGGCGGCTTCATGCCTGGAGGCGCCCATCCCTCAGGCCGGCTGAAACACTTGAACCATGGGTGTCCAGCCTTCTTGCAGTACCAACATGCACCCTCCATTCGGGTGCTCCCCCTGCCACCAGAGCTCCCATGCCCCTCATTGTAGTCACCTTGGCCTCTTCCTGTGCCAAGGCCTCTCCCACGGCCTCGGCCTCTCCCTCCCCCTCTTCCTCTGCTGCCTCCTGCAGCTCCATACCCCTCAGCAGTTTTGTTGGCAGCACCGCCTCCTGTGTGGCGTGTGCGGAAGTCCTCCTGCAGAATCTATTGCCGTAGCTACTCTGGCGACCATTGATCCTGCTGAACGTTGAGGGTGGGGATGAGGTTCTCCCACGAGTTGTCGAGCACCGAGATGATCTTGGTGCACTGCTGCATCTGCGACACCTTGCTGCCCGCCGCTGCAATCCTCGCATAAGTGTCTTTTATCTTATCAAGGACCGGCTTCACATCGTCTCCCGGTCGCATGGAGAGTGCAGCCAGCTCCTTCTCGAGCACGATCACCATTGGCAGCGTGTTGGGCTGAATCACGTCGCGCAGTAGCTTCCACGCCTTAGGACCGGAGTCGTCCAACTCGACCAAGTCCTTGATGTGCTGAAACATGTCGTTGTTGACCGATTGCAAGATGAGGTCGAACAACACCGCGCTCCGCTCAATCCACCGATCCCGAGCATCTCCTTCCTCGGGCATTTTCTCTTCTCCCATTGCAATTTTCAGCAGCTTGTAGCGCTTGAAAGCACTCCTCATCCGCCCACTCCATTCTTCGTAGTTAAAGCCATCCAATGCCTCAATCTTGGATGGTGGCGGCTCACTCCTCTTCTCAGCTGCATCTCCACTCTCTTGATTCATCTCTCCTGCTCCCAGTCACAGGTTTCAGCTCGCCCATATGCTGGTCACAATGTAGATCCACAAAATCTTCACAAGTGAAATTCCGGCAGAGTTTCCCCTTAGCGGAAGTCACATCCAACCTTCAGAACACCACTTAGGCACGCCCACAGGCCATGGTGGGTCTAGAAAGGTCTTCATACCTCAGTAGACTCCCCACAAAGTCCTCAATCAGCTCTGATACCACTTGTTAGAGACTAAGGACGGAGTCTAGAACGTTTAGGGGCCGAAATATCACAAAATCGTTGGACTTAATTTCTGGAGAGAAACATCGACTTCACAAGAAACGCCGTCGACGAAAATTGCACCTTTACTCCACCAATTTTGGATATGTTGTACGTCTCGACTGTGGCTGCAATTCCCAATTCGAATCGTATCAAAAGATGAAGTAAAGCTAGAGTCATGATTTTCGGCGCACTAAGGGGTATGCTGCCACAGAAACTGACTTAATCACAATAGTTCTCACAAGTTCCACAAAGAGAATTCGAGTAGCACTCAACCAGGTAGGAGGGAAGAGGAGGACGAGAGGGAAGGTCCCCAAGGAGTCCCCAACCAAGGAAACCCCCATACCACACAATTCCCCTCTCTATAGGCACCCCAACTTTGACATTTGTCACTTTCCAACCCATGCCATCCACCTCACCCAACTTGGCCACACTTACCAACCTGGTTTGGCTTCTCCCAACCATTTGGCATCATCTACAGTAGAAGTGACGAATTTCCCAACCCCCAAAAGTCCGTACCCCATACTGAGTCTCTCTGAAAATTCCCATAGTCGCCGCATAACAATTAAAACTTCGAACGATCATAACTTTTACGTTCTTGCTCCGATCGCGACGAATCTTGGTGCGTCGGAAAGCTCTTGAGCAAAGAAGTTACTTCAGATATCTGCTCAAGCCAAATATCATTCACTCATACTCAGGAAATCCAAACCATACCAAATACAAATTCTTGCACACACCCACACCACGCATGCAACGCACGAACATATGATGGGAGGCAGACAGACGTGAATGCGAATGGTAGCATCACACAACACCCACAGTACTAGTGTCTCCAGCGCCAGCACCTCCAGCTCCAGCGCCACAAGCTCCAGCTCCAGCGCCTCCAGCTCCAGCGCCTCCAGCGCCAGCACCTCCAGCTCCAGCGCCTCCAGCTCCAGCGCCTCCAGCTCCAGCGTCTCCAGCTCCAGTGCCTCCAGCGCCAGCACCTCCACTGCTAGTGCCTCCAGCTCCAGCGTCTCTAGGTCCAGTGCCTCCAGCTCCAGCGCCTCCAGCGCCAGCACCTCCAGCTCCAGCGCCTCCAGCTCTAGCATCTCCAGCTCCAGTGCCTCCAGCGCCAGCACCTCCAGCTCCAGCGCCTCCAGCTCCAGCGCCTCCAGTGCCAGCGCCTCCAGCTCCAGCGTCGCCAGGTCCAGTGCCTCCAGCTCCAGCGCCTCCAGCACCAGCGCCTCCAACTCCAGTATCTCCAGCGCCAGTGCCTCGAGCTGCAGCAGCGCGATTGTGAAGGCGGGTGCGCTGAGCAAACCACTCGCGCAGCTGCTGGGGCGAGAGAGGCTCTCGCTGGCTAGACTGCTGCGGCAAGGTACCCGGAGGACTATCAGCATACGCACCACCCCCAGGCTTAGTACCCCCAGGCTCTGCACGCTCAGGCTCGGCAGTCCTAGGCTCCGCACGTTCAGCCTCAGCACCCCCGGAGTAGTATCCCGAGCAGCACCACCCCCAGCAGCACCAGAGTCACCAGTGACCTCGACAGGCTCAGCTAAGGGAAGTGGGTCTACCTGAGACACACCTGAAGGAGCAGGACCCTGAGGGGGGAGGGGGTCTACCGGAGGGGGACCTGGAGCGAGGAAGAGGGGAGGGGAGAGGGGAGAGGGGCAGAGCGGTAGGGGAAGAGACGGTAGAAGGGAACCGACTCATCAAACGTGACGTCCTAAGAGGGCAGGACACGACACAAGGTGGGGTGGTAAAACTGCCAGCCAGGCGCGTCAGGAGGAAAGCCAAGGAAGACACAGGGAATGGTGCGGGAGGAGAGCTTGTCCGCAGAGGTATCGCGGACAAAGGCACGAGAGCCCCAGACCCGGAACAGCGACGCGTTACCAACCTTCCCCGTCCAACGCAGTGTAGGCGAGGTCTCAGGCAAGGAGACACGGGGCCAGAGGTTGAGCTGATGCGCAGCGTACCGGACCGCAAACGGCCACAGAAAATGGGGAGCAGCCGCATGGATCATGGAGGTACGAGCCACCTCCATGACTAAGCCAATGCGGCGCTCAGCAATCCCATTCTGCTGCGGGGAGGCCGGAAGCGTGAACGACTGGAGGATGCCACCCCCAAAACAAAAAGTCCCGCAAGAGGTCGGAGGAGAACTCACCACCTCTGTCAAAGTGCAGACGCAGGACAGGAAGGTCCGTGCGGAACCGCTCGCAGAGCTGGAGACGAACAGCGCGGATCCAAGGGATCAAGACAGCAGGGACCTCACCCTTGCTGCGCAAGGGGAAGACTGTGGTGTATCGCGAGTAGTTGTTAACAACCAGCAGAAAGTACCGCTCGTGGCCCTGTCCAGTGACGCGGGTTGGGCCCCACACGTCCATGTGGAGAGTCTGCAGGGGAGCAGTCGTCGGGGGAAACGAGGAGGAGTGAGGAGCGGTGCACTGTCGCCCCTCGAGGCACGGAATGCAGGGCGGGGCAGGCGAGCGTGGGAGGGGAGGGAGAGAAATGGGAAGACCAGAGACAAGGAGGCGGGAGTGCATGCCACGAAGGCGTGGCAGGGAGGGGTGACCAAGGCGGTGGTGCCAGAGGAGAGTCTGGTGCGACAGGAGGCGACACAAGCACAACGCGGCTACCTGACCTGACGCGGACACCTGAGCAGACGCAGCGACCTGAGGAGGCACAGTAGTCAGTGTGTACAGACTCGACCCAGGCCGACGGGTGAACGTGGCCAGGTGACGGCCAGTCCGGGAGCACGTGCAGATCGCCACACGCTGGCCTCCAGGGGTAAAGGTATCAACCCCTGCATCCTGAAGGACCGCGTTACTCACCAAGTTCGTCGAGAATGAGGGGAGGTGGAGACCTGACAGTGAGCCGGACGGAACCGCCGGACACGGTAGAACCATGGAGGAACGTGCAAGAACTGGGCCCCCAGAGGGGTCAGCCAGTGAGACTGCAACGGGTCTAGGGAGTGGTGTGACTGTGGTATTGTCGCGAAAGAAGCAGCGAGAAGCACCCAAGTCAAGCGTGAAGGTGTGCAAGGCCTCAGCAGGCGCAGTACCAGAGAGAGCAGACTCACTAGCACCTAGAGCAGCAGCCTCTATACCAGGGTCGGGCGGCACACACAGGTAACAGTCACCCTCAGTACCAGCAGTCAAAGCATACATGGCAGTAAGGATAGCGTCATAGTCTAGAGCAAATATATCCACTTTGTCCCGAAGCAGCTCTAGCCAGCGGGGAGCTCAGCCTCGTCGCCAAACACTGCGTGCCAGGAGTCGCTCAGACAGGTGAAGCAGTGGGACTGTGTATAGCTAGGTTTCCCGCAAGTCTGACCTGCCCGATACATATAGGCACAACACAAGGGCACTCACCAGGATTTATGTGAAGGTTCTGAGGGTCGTGAAGCGTCCTTAATGGATCCTTCCCGACTTCGGTAGAAGCCTCTCAGTGTAAACTGAAAAGCACGTGACCTAAAATAGTGCTTTAACCTTAAAAACTATAGTAAAGCAACGATTCTAAGGAAAACCAGCAAAAGCATGCATAATGAATTATGGCTAAGCAAGATAGTGTATGATAATGTATATCTGAGTAGGTAGAGCCGTTGTACTCTCACACGTCCACCCTTCAAAGATGGGTGGTGTGAGAAACACCTTGGTTGACAAATATTCATTCAAAGTACGACGTGCGTTGCCCATGTCACCTTCTATCTGTGAGAATACGACGGCTTATGCTTGCTTTGCTAGCTTTCCTAGCCTTTATTATGCTATTTCTAGCTTAGGATGATATAATCATACATGCTTATGCTTGATTTCCTAGGCTAGGTGCTTTCCTATATTCGATTATAATTATAACACCGAACCAGGTTGTGTGTCCAGGCCTTTCGGTTGCCACCGAATTACCTTCTACTAAATTCGGAAAGGTTCTGTTCCAGACGCTTCACGACCCTCAGAACATTCGCATAACACCTGGGTTACTAACCTTGTGTCGAGACTATTTATAGCCTTGTGTTGTACCCAAGTGAATCAATCAATTCATTTCTCGTTCCTGAACTAGATCCTATCGATCCTCACAATTGGTAATCAGAGCTCGTTTCGATCGATAAAACCTAGACTTTAAAACCCGCCAATTTCGGGTATCTAAACCAGTTCTGTGCAATTTTTTAACGTCCCCCTCGATCCGGTTTTTTATCGCGCCTCAGGTTTATTGGCAAAATAGTTGGATTTTCAATAGTCAGAACGATTCGAATCTCAACGGCCCTGAGAATTTCGCCCAAAAAAGTTGGAATTTGGAGCGTCAGATCGAGTTTCTTCTCAATGGCCGAGAGACACTGACGTCCGTCGAATCATTGGGAACCTTGAAATTTACTTCAAGGCCGTTGGCTATACGACCCCGACAAACGATGCAATGCGGATTCGGCTTGCAGCGACACTGTTGAGAGGCTCGGCGCTCGAGTGGATTTACAATAGTAACGAGATCTGAGGCGAGGGGCCAGTGACGCAGTTTTGGGCAGCTTTAATTCAACGTTTCGAACCGATTAATTCGAGCTACATGGCGCGGCAGCAGATTCATCGGCATAAACAGTACGGCGATGTAATACAGTACACACAGCAGAAGGAGAACCTCTTCAACCGAATTACTGATGTGACCGGTGTCAAACATTATATGTTTATATGATTGTAGGCTGTAGTGGGTTACACCTTAGGGGGTACACTGGATTAGGGTTTCCTATTTGTATCCATCCTTCTGTTAGTACAGTCATCCCAGTCCGTTCATTCTGACATGGTATCAGAGCAGGTCCATCGCTAGGACCGTTCTTAGGGCCCACCGCTACCTACCTACCTACCTACCGTGCGCCTCGTGCGCCCTCGCGCCCTCGTGCGCCTCTTACTACCGCGCGCCCTCGTGCGCCTCTTACTACCGTGCGCCCTCGTGCGCCTTCGCGCCCTCGTGCGCCAATCCCTACCGCGCGCCTTCGTGCGCCCTCGCGCCCTCGTGCGCCCTCGCGCCCTCGTGCGCCTCACCCTACCGCGAGCGCACGGCCTGCTAGCCACCCACGCGCGGCCAGCTTTCTTTTTAGCGCGCGCGACCCGCTAGCCGCCCGCGCGCGGCCTGTGTTCTCACGCGTGCGACCCGCTAGCTGCCCGCGCGCGCCCCGCCCGTCTGTCGCGACGCCCTGGGGAGCCCGCGAGCGCCCCGCCCGTCCGTCGCGACGCCCTAAGGAGCCCGCGGACCCTCTGCCCGTCCGTCGCGACGCACTGGGGAGCCCGCGAACGCCCCGCCCGACCGTCGCGACGCCCTCAGGAGCCCGCGGACCCCCCGCCCGTCCGTCGCGACGCACTGGGGAGCCCGCGAGTGCCCCGCCCGGTCGTCGCGGCGCCCTCGGGGGTCGCGCGCGCGTCCCCCCCTCGCCCACCCGACCGTTCTGGCGCCTTGGGGGTCGCGCGCCTCCCCCCCTCGCCATCCCCCGCACTCCTCCCCCCTACCCCACCCGTTTTAGGGTTTTTGGGGCGCTGCTGCAGCTGCCGCCGCTGCGATTGCCTCAACTGCCGCCGCCGACCCTGCATCAGCTGCCGTCACCGCCTCTGCAGCAGCTGCCGCCGCCGAGCCAGCAGCTGCAGCCGCCGAGCCTGCAGCAGCAGCCGCCGCTCGACCTGCAGCAGCTGCCGCCGCCGAGCCTCCAGCAGCAGCCGCCGCCGACTCTGCGGCAGCAGCCGCCGCTGAGATTACAGCAGCTGCCGCCGCCGACCCTGCAGCAGCTGCCGTGGAGATCCCTGCTGCGACCTGGCCCTGCCCCGCAGTTGCTGCGGCCCCGCTGTCCCCACCGTCTTGTGCCCTCCGCGCCTACCACTGGTGAGCTTTGCCCTGCCAGCACTACTCCCGCTACTACTGCTACTACTGCCTTTGCTCCTCCCACTGTCACTGCTCCTGCTGCCACTACTGCTGCTGCTCCTGCCGTGGCCAGATGGAGCTCCAGCAGGCTCGTGAGTGGTACGCCAGTTTAGGCAGTCGGGGTGGCCGTAGTGGTAGTCGCTCTGGAGTGCGTCGTTCGGGAGCCTCTGGTAGTAGACCGGTGCAGCAGCCGTGCCCTCTTCTGCTCCAGCAGGCTCGTGAGTGGTACGCCGGTTTGGGCAGTCGGGGTGGCCGGCGTGGTAGTCGCTCTGGCGTGCGTCGTTCGGGAGCCCCTGGTAGTGGACAGGTGCAGCAGCCGTGCCCTCTTCTGGTCCAGCAGGCTCGTGAGTGGTACGCCGGGTTGAGCAGTCGGGGTGACCGTAGTGGTAGTCGCTCTGGCGTCCGTCGTTCGGGAGGCTCCGGTAGTGGACAGGTGCAGCAGCCGTGCCCTCTTCTGCTCCAGCAGGCTCGTGAGTGGTACGCCGGTTTGAGCAGTCGGGGTGGCCGTAGTGGTAGTCGACTGCAGCACTGCACACCTTCACCCTGGACTCAGGTGCTTCTCGCTCTTTCTTTCGTGACCGCACTGTCCTTGAGCCACTCGCTCGGCCAGTTGCTGTCTCCCTTGCTGACCCCTCTGGGGGTCCGGTCATTGCGACCTCCTCCACTGTCCTTCCTTGTCCTGCGGTCCCGTCCGGCACGCTGTCAGGTCTCTACCTCCCCTCGTTCTCTACGAACTTGGTGGCGGGTTGTGCGCTCCAGGACTCGGGTGTTCACCAGTTCACCCCTGCCTACGAGCGCGTGACACACTGCACGTGTGCTCGGACGGGTCGCCACCTGGCTACTTTCACTCGAGAGCCGGGGTCGGACCTGTACACACTGACCACTGAGTCCCCTCAGGTAGCTGCGTCTGCGTCTACGTCTGCGTCTGCGTCAGGTCAGCTGTCCGCCCCCTGCTCGTGTCGCTCTCTGGCGCATGAGACTGTCCTTTGGCACCACCGCCTTGGTCACCCGTCTGTGCAGCGCCTTCGGGCCATGCACAAACGGGACCTTGTTGCTGGTCTTCCCAGGGTGCTCCCTCCCCTTCCCGACTCGCCTGCTCCTCCCTGTCTTCCCTGTGTCGAGGGGCGGCAGCGC